GAAATTTTACATTTATGAAAAATGAAAATAAACATCTAACTGTATGCTCTTTGTAGTCAACATTACCATAAACCTTTTTGTTTTATGCGACTTTGCTTTAATTTAATGAAATTTGAAATCTGAGAAAATATAGCTCAATACAGCTATAATTTATAGGTGTATATAGCTATATAGGTCTTTATAGCTATATAGCTCAATCGGCAGAGTGTACTGTACCTGTAATAGCATAGTAATACAAAAAAAATACCTCTAATATGCTATTTTTTAAGCATATTAGAGGTATTTTTTTTGTATTACTATTATTATTCATTATTGACAGAACTTCAGGCTCCTGTGGCTATACTTAGTTTCGTTAAATCCCAGTTGGTAGGGATTGATGCTTTAAATGCATCTATTCCTTGCGCCCCAACTGTGATGTCGTCCAGGTGGTTCCAATCTGTGGCTGTTCGCACAAAGAGTAAGTTTCTGTATTGTTCCGTGTTGCTGTTGGGTATTATGACTGCTCTGTTATTGTTCCTGATTGAATTTGGAATTGGCCTTGATGTCTCGCAGTCCTGGAATATACGCCGTCATGTTTTCCTTTTTTCACGTTGGAAATTAATAAAGTCTTTGCTAGGCATTGATGGAATTTGCTCCTCTACTTATTTTATAATAGAATGTTAGTCTCAGTTGTTTTCGTCTTGATGCTAGTGGTGGAAGTTGTAGCTCCTTGAGTAGTTTGGTCATGACTCCCTCTTCCCTTGTTCTGTAATCCTTCTGGATGAAACACGCCCCTCTCCGTTGGATGCTTTCCAATTTGTTAATGTTCGTCTTTATGTACGGGTCCCAGATTATTGCTCCGTATTCTAAGATGGATCTGACAAGAGCAATGTATGCAGTCTTTCTACATTCTCTGGGACAGTGTTGTAGGAAGCCTAAGGTAGAACTGGCCTTTTTAGGTCACCTGAGCTTTACTCAAGTGACCTATTCCAATCCCTTTCCGTCCGGCGCCGTCCGTTGTCCGCCGTGCGTAAACTTTTTACATTATCAACTTCTTCTCTAGAACCAGTGGATGGATTTTTTTCAAACTTGGTCAGAATCATCCTTGGTAGATGAGGCTACCAAATTGTAAAATTGGGATTCCTACCCCAACCCTAGGGGCCAGGGCGGGGCCCAAAGGGAAATTTAACCAATTTTTCAAAAATCTTCTTCCCCAGACTCAGAGTCCTATACTACAGTCATTTTCTCTGCATGGATGGAAATATCATCAGGGGCTTTATTTAAATTGTAAATTTCAGGACCCCCGAGCTATCCGTTCTCCCTTGGGGAGGGGGTAAAGTTTACTATAGTTTATATAGGGAAACAACACTTTTGGGTATATTTTGACAATTTTCTGTTGGAAATTATTTTTACTTGGTCAGAATCATCTTTGGTGGACGACGGTATCACATTGTAAACTTGGAATTCCTGCCCCATCCCCAGGGGTTAGAGCGGGGCCCCAAAGGGAACATTTACAAATATTTTAAAATTCTTATCCTTTGATGACATGACAAGTATTGTATTTCACTTAGTTTACATGCTGATTTCCACATCACATCTAAACAATAAAATAAAGCTACCAGTACCTATGATATAACTCAGGTGACCGCTAAGGCCCTTGGGCCTCTTGTTTGTGGTACTTGCTATGTGTTCTTTCCACTTCATATCCCCTGATAGTCGTAATCCTAGGTATGGGCTTGTCTGTACGTGATCTAAGTTGTGTCCATTAAGTTGGTATGTGTTTTGCTTTTTCTTCTTAATACAATGAATGTAACATTTTTTGGCATTAAAATTTAATCCCCCAGTTTGCAGCCCAAGTTTCGAGCTGTTTAAGGTCGTCTTGAAGTGTTTTGTGGTCCTTGTTTGATATTATTTCTCGATCGAGTAGGCATGCAGTCATCTGCGAAAAGTCTAACTGTTGATTTCACAGAGTCTGGCAAGTCATTTATATGGCAAAGGAAGAGTAGGGGTCCCAGTGCTGTTCCTTGTGGTACTCCTGACTCAACCGTTGCCTCTCAAAGAGTTCTCCCTCTATGGCTACCTGCATCTTCCTGCAAGTATAACAAACTATCACACAATTTATAAATTATATAGCAAGACTATTATATTATCCAGAGTAAACCTACAATATATTTAAGCTTCTTAACAAGGAAAACTTATCAGTACTTATTAATGTTGTGCTGTTCCTAATACTGAAAAGAGCATGTTCATTTTAAAGGTACGACTATTATCTCGAGATGTATACCACCAATCAAAGAGGCTTCTAGCTGCAAGGACTAATATGGTAATTACATTTGTTCCCCAACAAGAGGCATGGATTGTGGAGCGTTTTGGAAAATTCAGCAAAACTATGAAACCGGTAAGTACAAATAGATAAATAGATCAAATAATCTAATGCTTCTCATTGTCACATTGATATAATTATCCATTTCTTAGAATATTTACCATGACAAGTTAAATGTCCAAAACGATATTTTACAGCATAATTTAACATTGTGTCCATGGAAAAGACATCAAAACGTGTACAACTGTTATGCCAAGAGGAAAAATGACATCCCAATAACAAAACCGTGGATGATAATACTATATTTATCCCAGAATAAACAATGCAGAATTCTCTAATAAGTCTTAAAATTTTATCAAATTAGATGTCGAGGGAAGTAAGGATTTTTTTTTGAAAAACGTAAAAATAACTGGTGGAATCCAATAGGAAAATGACGTAACCTGAAAGATGTTATGGCATATCACCGTATAATGCTAATAATTATATATAATGTTTATTTCATTTGTGTATCTGTTATCCTGTACTTTAACATTCCAATGTTTCATGTCTGTACATAATTAACTACAACATTGCAGTGAGGCAAAGTGTCTTAAATTATATCTGTTTCACAGTTCTCATCACTAAATTTTGAAATATATGGTTGACTTGAATTAAGAATAGCCTGTTGAATCTTGAATTGACATGCTGTAATGTTAGCCTACACACATTCTGAAATGGTCAGTTCAAAGTTGATGAAATGCAGGCTACTTTTGATGACAGCCTGCAGCTTTTAATGAGAACACTGTGTTAGAATTTTCATTAACTATTCTGGATTATTTGTGAGATTTGTATGTTACTTTGGTGTTCTCTGATGAACATGATACTTCAGAATAATGATTTTTTTCTATTCTGTTTCAGGGCTTGAATATACTTGTCCCTATAATAGACACAATAAAGTATGTTCAAATCCTCAAAGAAATTCCTATTGAAGTTCCACACCAGTCGGCTATTACTTTAGGTATGTACAATATTAATGTTCCAGGAAGTGATTTATGCCAGAGTAAAAAGTAGTTTTATAACATCTCGTTATTAAGTATATAATGCATGATAGTTGTTTATATCAAGAATCAATTGGTTATTGATAGTATGTGTCATGTACGATATAGATGTCTTGACTGTCCATTTCCAAGTTCAAGGTCAAGACTAAAGGGTCAAAGGTTACAGCACTAAGGGGTGTCACAAAAGAATGCCTAGAGTGCATCATGATATATTGCAATAGCGAAGGAATGTTTCACAATATGTATCCCAACGTATTTTCAAAAGAAAAAAGCTGCTCATCAGTTTAAAAAGTTCATCAAGTCGAAGGTGTTGAAATTTCGAATAGCTTCATCTACATATGTGATATATGCTAAGTTTGTTTTAAATACAAACACATAAACAGTACCTGGTAATTAAAAGTTTATTTTTCAATTTCAAGCTTTCAAATGATTTCAAAAACATCTGTTTGCTTTGTTAAGCCACATTGTACTGAGTCTGTAAAGTGAGCTGTCAGAATGATATTGAAAATATATATACGTATCACCCAAGAGCAATCTGACTGACCTGTCTGGTAATGTTTTTACATTAGCTCCTGTAGGCTTACCCAAGTGTGAGTAGTATACAGGATGTTAACTGTTGGCTGAGGTTTAAAATAAAATTGAATGTCCCAATCAGGTTAGAATAAAATTGGTATTTGACCTTCAGCTTGCTTTGTACAGAGCCAATGACCTTGCACAGGGATCATACAAATGTAAACTGGGAGAAAGTTCACATTTATTTGTAAGTTCCCTCGTTGTTTTATTTTAAATAAGAGAAAAATATAATAATAAAATAAAATACAACTCATGTTATTCATTGACAGAAAAATATAATTTGCTTGTAATTAATTTCTGGTAATCTTGTTTTCCAGATAACGTATTGTTAAATTTGGATGGTGTTTTGTATGTCAAAGTATTGGATCCATATAAGGTAAGATGTAAGATCAGCTTGGGTGCTACTCAGGGGCGGGTCCAGGTGAGGGCGTAATGGGCATACGCCCCCCCCCCCCTTTTCAAAAAAATAAAAATAAAAAAATATCGTAATCTGCTAATATTGTATTGAATATGGCAATTTATCATATTCATTAATTAAACACATAAACACACTGACACTTGAACTATAAAATATACATGCTCCAAGTCAGGAACCGTTTCATTAGTTCATTTCACAATGATTTTATGTTTTTGAGCAAAAAAAAGGTCCAAAAAATTGTTGGCTCGCTCCGCTCGGCAAAACATTTTATTCTACGCCCCCTCTTTCAAATATTCTAGAAACGCCCCTGCTACTTGTATGTCAAAGTGGTAAATCATCTAGTGTCATGCAATCATGTCAAAGTGTTCAAGCTTTATAAGGTAATTAAAGCCTGCCTTGTGTCATAGATGTAAGTGTTAAACTCTTCCAACTTAGGTAAAATAAAACTGCTGGTTTCTTAACCCTTTCACCACTGTAGACCACAATGGACTCATCCAGATCAATGCATTGAAGAGTTAACTAAAGCTATATAGGGGTGAATGGGTTAAAAGGGCTATTCCAGTTACTAACTTCCCCCTCCTTGCAAGTCAAAATGATGTTAAATTCTGTTGTACATGAGATATTAAAGGCATTATATTATAAATTATGGAAGATAACATTCTGGTAGTGGTACTCTAAAACAAGCAATCCCTTTCATTGGGTTGGAATGTTCATTAATAAAATAGTGCATTCTAAGATAAAGTGAAACATCATCCTGTGTGGATAGGTGTATTGGTCCTTGTTCACCTTTGGTTATTACCACTATACATTGTAATTTCAACAACGCAACATACATAGATTTTTCCAAAGTGCTTTAGGGGTAAATTTGGAAGGTCAACCCTTTAAGAAACAGGGATGGAGTTGGATGTAGAAATGAATCTTTTCGAATTTGGAGCACCTGTTCAGAGATCTTCAGCTGAATCTGTTGAATTATATATATATGGTATGCTATGTAATAAATTACATTGTACTCCCATGAATTAAGATCCCATGAACCATCTTGACTTGCTTTAATTCATAATTGAGAATTTTGAACAGTTGTATGTTCAAAGTTTTAATTACTGTCTATAACAAATGGTAACGGTTTCTGATGTATAAATCCCTTTTTCTTAGGAAGTAGCTAGCTGCTACAGTAATTTAACATACCTGTATATCCCTAAGTTATAAAATGTAGGTGATATGTATGTTGTAGGCGAGTTATGGTGTGGAGGATGTGGAGTTTGCCGTTACACAGTTGGCTCAGACCACTATGAGATCAGAAATTGGTAAAATTTCTCTGGATGAAATCTTCAGAGAAAGAGAATCGCTAAATGTAGCTATTGTTTGTAAGTATTTCATTCTTGTGATCATTAGACTAGTGTCTACGTGATTTTATCATAGGCCATACAAATATATGTTGAAGCCATGTTAGTCCTGTTACATTCATTCCTAGTTAAAAATACTGTTATCTAATCAGCTGGATTTCCATTTAGTCTTAACATTTTGAATAGAAAGGACAATGGACAATGGTATGCCCAGTTAAGTGATGTTTGGATTAAACATGGCTTTGACCTGATATATATATAAATATATCTATGAGGGGAATTCACTCCCTTCGCTTTCTTCTTAGTAATGAATCTGACAGATTCAGTAAGTGTAAATCTATCCCGAGATTTAGAGAAAATATCGAGCTACTTACTACTGGAATCTATATCTCCAACTTGAAGACATTTTACAAGAAGATTTGTTTTAAAAATTAAAAAATGAATCTCAATCAATAATCTACTCCTGACTCTGAAGTGTTTAACCCTTTCACCATTGTAAACTTTAATGGACTCCTCCAGATGAATGTATGGTAGAGTCTACTCAAGTTACCTAGGAGTGAAAGGGTTAAATGACTTATTGTATAGATATTTTTTTAATGGGTTTGTCCTCTAATTAAAAGTTTAAAGTTTGGCAAGAACGTTATTTCCATATTTGTTGGTTTCTAGTACATGCAGTTTTGACTGTACAGTATATCTAAGTGAACTACACAAAAGAACTAAATAAACAAGAGGCCCATGGGTCTGATCAAGTTATGTAAAAACTTATGTTATCGATGTTGCCAAATGAAAAAGAAATCATTTTGTAACAAAGGTAACTTGAACTACATGTAATGCAAGATCTGGGTAGTATATGTATTATGTACAAATAGTGGTTCTTTCAGTCAGATGAATTTTGGTAAAGCACCGACCCTTCCATCTATGAAGAGTATTTGATTCTACCATATCTGGATCTTGACAGGAAGATTTTTGAAATTTTAGTCAATTTGACCTTTTTTGGCCCCACTCCTCAGGTCCCTCGTGGCTGGGGACCATATAATTCACAATCAAACTATAGTTAAGTTTACCCCCTCCCCAGGGGGAAACGTGAGACCCCAGGGTCATGAAATTCACAATTTTGGTAAAGCACCTTTATACCCTTCCATCTATGAAGAGTATTTGATTCTACCATATCTGGGCCTTGAGAAGAAGATTTTTGAAATTTCAGTCAATTCAACCCTTTTTGGCCCCACCCATCAGCCCCTGGGAGTCAGTCAGGGCTGACATGTGCATACCATCAAACTGCTATCCAATGCTGATAATGCTAACCTAGTTTGAATTAATTCCAATGGAAATTAAACAAAATGTTTGTCCAAAATGTGATTTCCCTATATAAACTATAATAAAGATTACCCCCTCCTCAGGGGGAAATGTGAGACCCCATGGTCATGAAATTCACAATTTTGGTAAAGCACCTTAAGACCCACCCTGCCATCTATGAAGAGTATTTGATTCTACCATATCTGGATCTTGAGAAGAAGAAGTTAGAATTTTTAGTCAATTTGACCCTTTTTGGCCCCGCCCCTCAGGCCCCTGGGGGCTGGGGACCATATAATTCACAATTTTGGTTAATCATTTGCCATGGAAGGTTTCTGCAAAATTTCATTGAAATTGGTTCAGGGGTTTTGGAGAAGAAGTCGAAAAATGTAAATTGTTTACGGACGCATACGGACGCCGCCGGACAAAAGGCGATCGCAATAGGTCACTTGAGACTTTGTCTCAGGTGACCTAATAAAAGCCTTTTTAAACCAGTGATAGCTAGAGCTAAACAATCAAATGTTTTATCTGAATATAATTAACACATGTATACTTAAATTTGCATATTCTGTGGCAATCGGAAATATCTTATTTTTCTGTTTACTTGAGAATGAAATCACTCGGATGTATATTTTCTGTAATCAGCTCATAAAGGATCAGTGATTCACTACTGGTAGTTTGTTGTTTCAGCTGCACTCAACAAAGCTGCAGAGGATTGGGGAATAACATGTCTACGTTATGAAATCAGTAAGTGAAGCTGAGGCCCCTTTCGCATATCCTGTTCAACCAGTCAAAAGGATACGACAGACGATAAGGGGTCCAGATATGCCTGACCGAAACTAAAATACTGACTATTGCTAGTTTGCGTTATTTCTTTATAAAGCAAGGTCAAGCCAGATTTTAAGATACGTTATGTAATTTAGTGGACGTGTGGAAGAAGGACATATTATTCTATAGTTCGGTCCAAGTCATTCAATTATCATGGAATATTTCTGCGCCACCTAAACTGTTTCAACCGGGATACGCAAAAGTAGCCTTTGATGTCAATGTTATTCTGTTATTTAACATTTCATTATTTTCTCAATTGCCGATAGAGATAAAACGTTGGTGAAATATCAGTAATAAAATGACTTGCTATGCTAAACGCTGGTGAAATATCAGTAATAAAATGACTTGCTTTGCTAAACGCTGGTGAAATATCAGTAATAAAATGACTTGCTTTGCTAAATGCTGGTGAAATATCAGTAATAAAATGACTTGCTGTGCTAAACGCTGGTGAAATATCAGTAATAAAATGACTTGCTTTGCTAAACGCTGGTGAAATATCAGTAATAAAATGACTTGCTTTGCTAAACGCTGGTGAAATATCAGTAATAAAATGACTTGCTGTGCTAAAACGTTGGTGAAATATCAGTAATAAAATGACTTGCTATGCTAAACGTTGGTGAAATATCAGTAAAAAAATGACTTGCTGTGCTAAACGTTGGTGAAATATCAGTAATAAAATGACTTGCTGTGCTAAACGTTGGTGAAATATCAGTAAAAAAATGACTTGCTGTTCTAAACGTTGGTGAAATATCAGTAATAAAATGACTTGCTTTGCTAAACTTTGGTGAAATATCAGTAATAAAATGACTTGCTGTGCTAAAACGTACCGTGTTTTGATGTTTGTAGGAGATATCAAGCTTCCACATAAGATCCAGGAAGCTATGCAGATGATGGTAGAAGCAGAGAGAAAAAAGCGGGCATTTATTTTAGAATCAGAAGGTTAGTAGTACTGGTAATCATCGCTTGACTACAGCATTTCTATCACGATGGAGATGTGTTTAAACTGTGTCTCCATAGATCAATCTATATCTATGGTTCCAACAGTTGGTTTCCTCCAATATTGTTAACGTGACATCATGCTGCTGTTGATGTGATGGCTTTTGACGTCATATTCTTGTTTATAAAGGTGGTACATCACACTATTGTGTATTTTAACCTGTCTCTCCCTGACAGAGCGTTAATTTGTTTTCTTTGAGAGAAAACTTGACTTTAATCTAGTTTTATATTTAACCTATTCGACTCTTGTGACTTTGAAAAAGGATGAAGTTCATTCACTTTAACACTTTTGATAACACTGCGCACTGACAAGCTACATTTTGTATAAACAAAATGTGATGAATGTAGGCCTCAGGACACTGTAGAATATATTAATCCATTTGACCCTTGTGACATTGGGAAAGGAGCAAGGTGATCAATTATAAAAAGTTTGATAACCATACTTTCAACAATGTGCTTCTCTAAAAGTCTTTCAGATGTAGAATACAGATATTTAGCCTGCAGTAGCTTAGCTTGCTGGTCTGAAGGGCTATCAAGATTTTGCAAATACCTGCAAATAACCTTGAACCACATTCTAGGTCACAAGGTTCAATTTGTAAAACTAAAATAACCAGTATATTTGTGTGATTTATAGTGTAGCTGTAGATTGCTAGGATTAATAGTATGTCAAGTTTGTTCAAAGAAATGACCAGGACGAACATTGAAGGTCAATGATGTGAGACATGTAACTGTTTGTCAACACCATGATTAGAAAACAAGTGAGTGATACAGGCCCATTGTAACTCTTGTCTTAAATTGTATTAGTTTAGATGGTGATTTGAACTGTTTATGTATCCCTAACACTGTATCTGTCTTGATGATCCTTAGGTAAAAAACAGTCAGAAATCAACGTAGCTGAGGGTCACAAACAAGCAAAGATATTAGCATCAGAAGGCTACAAGATAGAACAAATCAACACTGCTCAGGGTATGTATACAAGTCAGCATTGCCTAGGGGATGTAAAGAAAACTTAACACTGCGCAGAGTAGGTATAGGAAAATAAAACTATTCAGCCCTATCCATGCAGTACAATGTATTACTTATGTTGATGCAGTAGGCCTGTCTATTTTATCAGCATCTTAATTGTCAAGCAGAAGAGACCAGATGCTACACTTTGTCACCCTAAACTGAAGTGTAAACTTTATGTAGCCTAGGTGTTTGAGATATTTAACCCTTTCAACCCTATGTAACTTTAGTAGACTCTACCCTGCATTGATCTGGATGAGTCCATTATGGTCTACAATGGTGAAAGGGTTAAGTGCTGCCACTGCCAGTCTAGGGGTTGTCGTTTGATCCGACAATACACATCACACTACCACAACATATTTGAATTTGCATCCCTATTTCATGGTCCAGTGACCATCAAATTTGAAATTTTCTGAATACTTCTGTATGACCTGCTATTCTATTATTAAATGATATCTGTATTTGTCCTTGTTGGGTATTGATATTGAATGTTTCATGTTGTATCTTTGTCATTTTGTGATGACATGTTTTGCTGTATGCCTGTTGATAAGTTTATAATGTTTTGCTGTATGCCTGTTGTTAGGTTTATAATGTTTTACTGTATATGTTTTTTACAGGGGAGGCAGAGGCACTGAAAGCAAAAGCCAATGCCAAGGCTGAAGCTATACGGGCAGTAGCCAACGCCCTCGGTAAAAAGGTGAGTGGAGACACGGGCCATAAAATAGTGGTCCTGTTCATAATCTCTACAATCTTGACATAACAACTAAACAAGGTTCTCTTTTTAATATAAGGAAGATTCGTAATACTGATGAGTAATTCCTGTTCTAGGCCAAAAATAAATATGTGTGTTTCAGGTATTCCGACCTACCCTAGATTTTACTGCCGGCCCTAGATATTTTATCACCTGCTTGTATCTAAGATTAATTTATTAGCCAGGCAAAGTTCACAGCCACCCTTTAAAATGTACTTTCTTCCGGTTCTGGGAGCTGGACCTTATTTTTGACAGATTAACAGAATTGTAATTCTGGATTGTAGATTGAAATCTGTGAAATGCATTGAAAAATTTGAAATACATCGCTGTAAAGCATGATATAAATTCACGAAAATTTGCTTGTAAAGATAGTGTAATTTCTTATTTCATTGATGAATCCTTTTTGCCCGTAGAATGGTAGTGAGGCAGTGTCGTACAACGTGGCAGAACAGTATGTGACAGCGTTTGGTAATCTGGCTAAAACTAGCAACACCATCATCCTTCCTGCTAATACTGGGGATGTGTCCAGTATGGTAGCTCAGGTAGGTCTCACACTGGTACCGCAACCTTCAGGATCATAATCTGTTACCACTGTACAGAAAAATGACACATACATAGTTTGTTTTAAAATACATGTTCAAAGTAAATAATAAAATCAACTAAAACAATTTATTATTACATATACCAATATTCCCCAAAAAACGTTATGATAGTTGCTTAATTATTTTATCTATGAAGGTCGGAGTGGAACCTTCTTCAAGATTATACAATATGTATTGGATGGATTGGCCCACACAATACCTTGTTTTGACCTATGTATCTCAAATTTATAATCACTTAGACTCCTCCGATTGATACATACAACCTAACAGAGTAGACAACCTCATATCACTCTGTAGCTATGTCGTTGCTGTTTTGGAATGTTTGGAGATATCATCAAGATGTAAATATTGTAAAAAATATGCTTGTGATGGTTTCCCATGGCAAGTTTCTAGAATATTAAATAAGAAAGTCAGTGCCTGTCCTTCAGGATGCTTTTACATGTGTTTAGTGATGATGCATTAATCAGACAAAAAATATTTCATTCAGATTTTAACTAGGTTTTTTTAAACATTTGTAAATGTTTTTTTTGTCTTTCCTTTTTTTTTTAGGCCATGTCTATCTACAAGAACTTGTCTACTGAAAGACCAACTACAGATTATTCAGTGGACAGTGAATCCACTGAACCTACTCTGTCTGGTTCCACTGAACCTACTCTGTCTGATTTCACTGAACCTACAGCCCCTACACATGACGAGACAGACTCAGACATAAAAACAGATGACAGAAAGGATCCTTAATGACAGACAATTCTAGTAAGGGGCTAGCTGTTGGAAGTTTTGTGATACATTGATGACCCTGAGGAGGAACGAATATATTGAAGGCTTCTGAATATACATGAGGATGACGCTTGTATCTTCAGTGTCCTTTTTGTTATTTCTTTTGAGAATACTAAACAAGAAATATCTAAAAAAAATAACTTGTTCAGTATGGTCCTATACATTGATCAGTATAACCGTTACACATCTCTCTAGGTCTGATATAGAGTATCATTTCTAACATGACCATTAACCTCCTCGTGTACACGTGTAACTCGCTAATACATAGTAACTTTTGTGTCTTTCTGGAACATTTGTTATGTTATATAGCTGGCATCAATTTAACAGCACTCTGAGAGAGCCAAGAAACTATGTTTGTAACTTTGAGAAAGGTCATTCTCTGTACTTCAGTATGAACTGGTCGATTTTTTTTTTCATCAGGGTATACTGGAAGTTCCGTTGATTTGAAAAGGAGAAATACTACTGTAGTGATATGACATTTTTTTAATAAATTATGAATCAAAGACAAGTGTGGACTTTGTTGTTATTTATTTAAAGCTCACGTAACAAGAATTGTTACCGGTGTGCTTATGAGATAGTGCAGACTCTTTGTAGCTCACCTGTCCAGAAGGCCAAGTGAGGTGTTTCAATTTGTTGCTGTCCCTCATCAACCATCCTTTTAGTTCACCTGACACGTATACGTAGGGCTTGTTCGTTTATGCGGAACAACCGGTTTGACCGTTTATAAATATAACAATTTCGGGTATAAATCCTGGCGGACCTGCAAAAGTGTATGCAGGCCTTGCAAAGCTTTCTCAAGGCTCACCTGAAAGCAGCATCAGATTACTAGGTCCGACCTTATTTAATAAACGAACAACAGTGGTCCGATCGGTTTGACTGTTTAAACGAAAACGGCCCAAGTCTCTGTATGGGGCACCATCTGTCATCCCTCTCTTCAGCATCGACGTTTTCTTTTTTACAATTTCCAAGGGGCCTAGGGTGATGATACTTGGCCATAAGTATGCTGAAATTGAGGAATTTGAAAAGTTTGTTTTGTGTTTGAACTGTTTTACACATCGACAATTTCAGACATTTAGGGCCAAACGTGACTAAAAAAATCGATGTCACATTACAAAATGGAATACACTAAACTTGAAAGTTTGAAACGTTTAAATGATGGAAAAATACAAACAAATTGGAAAGCATGCATACTGTAGGTATTGTTTATGCGTAGTCGGTAGCATCCTCGATAATGCAGGGATTACGTCTACGCTCACTTCACTCTCGGAGAGCGAAAAGTCCACTTATTGAGCACGAACCTACATTAGGTTCAATTGAAAACATCATTACTAATTTCTTCAGACCATTTTGTTGCCGAAGTTGTTTCAATATGATTTGCTATGGAAAATCATCGTAGTGACATTTAATATCGGCGGTTGAAGGTTAACACACACTTTAGAAGCCTTCCGTGGATTTATTCCGACATGACTCGGTGACAGAACATGTTTCGTTCCGTAAGATTTGAGTTCGGGCAACGAGTCGGAGCTGACAATTGCTCTGTTTATTTTTATCCATAGCTAGGTAATAGCACGGAATTAGATATCTAAGTCCGTGGTAATAGAGGTATTATTTGGTAATCGACAAGAAGAAAATACATAACCAACAATACTAGTGCTGCTTCTTTCCTGTCGACCCCTGAGAACCGTCTGTATATGGATACTTTGAGATAAACTCAGAAAAGAGGCTCTTCTCCTGAATTGGGAGGGTATTTGATTTATAATAAATCTACTTTAGGTTCACGAGTGGTCAATGGTGGTATTTCAGGTATGCTGTCCACTTCAATTGACGAACAATCTAAATTCGAATTTTCGATTAGTTTTCACAAACTTACGCCAAAATACTGAATTAAAATTGGGGAGGGGGCGGGGGCTTCTGTATTTGATATGAACTTTACCAACTTCCATAATCATCGGGGAAACAGTTCAAACCTTTTAACAACTTCTATATTACCAAGAGGTTAAAGCTGAGGCTTTTTCAAAAGAGTGTCCTTAATTGACTCGAATTCTAGGGGAATGATCATTTGGGCATGGTCCTGGCCATTGTTATTTTCATACCGATATTAAAACAACCACGTCCGCCAACGTAAATATCAGTAAACTTTCTGAAAGTGATCAGTGCCAGGCTTGTTCAAGCCAACACTTGAAATATTATTTTTAATTTCTAATTTGCTGGAAATCAAAATTTAGAAGCGCTTTTGACCTGACCAAATTTTGGTATTGATGAGCTGACTTGGATTACAATGTGGCCACCATCTGAAAAATCTATTTTCAAATTCTGCTAAGAGACTTCTTTCAAAAGTCTGAGGCAAAGAATAGTAACATTTGGGCTACAACGAACTGGTACAACATTAAGTATTTATTTATTCTCTTTATTTCCTCCAAAATGAAGATTTCATAAACAGAATAGTTACATATAAGAATTAATCAACATATATACATACATGGACATTGAAAGTTTACAAAGGTATGTTACTTTAATGTGTACATAACTAACTATATACTCCTTTATTTCCTCCAGAATGAAGATTATAATGATAGAGCATCACAATAAATTTATGTTGTTAACATATTAGGGCATATAATTTAAGCCAGCAGTATCAGGCCCTTTTGATTATTTGACAATAATCAGCAAAGATATAGTAAATGTGTCATTTGTAATATGATATTATCGTACTATCGTACTAATTTCACTATTTAGGAATAACATTTAATTACAATGGCAGTTTTGTAAACGCAAAAGTCAATACTTGCTATATATACACAAAAATCCGGAACCTTTCTCTTCCTATAGATTTACAAGTAAAACTGTTTGATTCTCTAGTAGAACCGATTCTAGTATATGGATCGGTTGATGGGGATTCGAAAACCTGAAAATGATCGAACAGATTCATCTCAAGTTTTATAAAAGAATTCTTAAAGTGAGATCTACAACGCCTAATTTTATGATTTATGGTGAGCCAGGTCGTGTACCATTGGAAATAAATGTTAAACTAAGAATGTTAGGTTTTTGGAATAGAATAATTAGGAATGAAAACAAACTCAGCAGCATATTACTACGACTGGTTTTACATATGCAAATCGATGATACTTTTTCGTTCAAATGGATTAACCATATAAAAGGTATCTTCAACGAAACGTGATTTTCTTACATATTTGATAATAAATTACAGATGCCTGATGGATTTTACAAATGCATTTTAAAACAACGGCTTATTGATCACTTTGTACAGCAAAGGTTTGATGACATTACTAGCTCATCTTGTGGGCAAGTACTACACTCTATTTAAAACGGAATTTGGTCTAGAAAAATATTTACTAAATTTGCTAGAACATATCAGAACACCAATAACAAAACTGCGCACTTCGAAGTTGAAGTTTCCAATTGAAACAGGTAGATGGTATAACATACCCCGAGATAATCGACTATGTAATTTGTGCGCGGAAAGTGTCGGGGATGAATTTCATTATCTATTTGAATGCATTAATATAACTATATCCACCTTACGAACAAATATATTCCTCGTTATTATTGTACAAACCCAAATATTTACAAGTTTAAAGGTCTTTTATCATTATGCAATCAACGACTTCTGACAGGGTTTTCTATTTTCCAAACCAAAATGGCTCCTCTATTGTGAGTGATGCATATGTATAACTGTTAAAAGTTAAATAACTTGGGAATTATATGTATGTTTATTTATGTTTGCTTTGTATTTTCCATTGTATGTCATATCATGTTACTATACCGTACCGGTTCTAAATTTAACTGTCCATTCTTTCAGTTTTACATGTGTATATAAATATGAATATTGTACTTCATTTTCCATATCCGAAACTTTATTTCCTCATGTAACACATATTATGTGTCGGAGTGTTAATAAAAAAAAACTTGAAAAAAACAAATTCTACTTGTCATCGCTTAAGTCACACATAAACACTTACTGATGGTGATACGTAGCCTTTCTATATTTCATTCTTACCAACCTTAACAAGATGTTTAAAAACTATCAAGTTTGTTCAAATAATGATTTTGACCAACTTTGAAGGTCGCTCGAAAACTAATTGAGTTAAAACATTTCATCAAAGGCTCATAAAGTGAAGTGTAAGGATATTTAGCCTGTGTTTGCTACATGTATCAATGTTGAATGAATTTGACCTTAACCCAGGTTATAGATGCGAGGTGCGTTTACAAACAGCATTACGTATTTGTCTTTAATCTTAACAAATAAGGACACCTTGCAGGTACGAAATTCCCGATTCGTGGAAGAACTCCACAATCATACCTATCCCAAAACCGGGAAAGGATGCTACTGACCCAAACAACTATCGTCCTATTTCTCTGACTGTATGTAAAACTTTAGAACGAATGATAAACACAAGACTGGTTTGGTTTCTCGAGGCAAACGATATAATATCCCCTCTTCAAAGTGGTTTTAGAAACGGAAGAGGGACAACTGACCATCTCATCAGACTCGAGACATTCATTCGAGAGGCTTTGGCCGTGTTCTTTGATCTTGAGAAGGCCTATGATACTACATGGCAGTATGGCATCATGAAACCTACCCATTTTTTTTTTATCTAATTACCTATCAGATAGACACTTCAAAGTCCGTGTTGGTTCAACTTTTTCTAAAACGTCTAAACAGGATATGGGAGCCCACAGGGTGGAATCCTATCAGTCACCCTGTTTGGTCTTAAAATCAATGATATAGTCAAATGTCTTGGTCAATTAACAGAAGGGTCGTTATTTGTGGATGACTTCTTGATCTGTTACAGATCTAAGAACATGCACACGATAGAACGACAACTTCAACAGAGTTTAGACAGACTGCAAAATTGGGCAGACGAAAACGGCTTCAAATTCTCTAAATCTAAAACTGTGTGCATGCATTTCTGTCAAAAACGAAAAGCACACAATGACCCAAATCTTACACTCAATGGCACTAGAATTCCTGTTGTTGAACAGACTAAATTTCTCGGCCTCACTTTTTATTCGAAACTCTCTTTCATACCACATATAAAGTATCTGAAGAATAAGTGTTCCAAGGCGTTAAACATTATACATGTCCTTTCTCATACTGATTGGGGAGCGGATCGGGAAATGCTTCTGCGCCTATGCAGATCACTTATTCGAACAAAACTAGATTATGGTTCTATGGTATACGGGTCGGCGCGCAGTTCGTACCTGCAGATGCTAGACTCGTCTAGCCATTGGAGCTTTTCGAACAACACATGTAAAAGGAAGCGAATGAACCATCCTTTAATGACAGAAGGAAAAAACTTGCATTACAGTTTGCAGCTCAATTAAAATCAAACCCTAAAAATCCTGCTTTCGACCAAGTATTCAACCCAAAATACCAAAATATCTTTACGCAAAACCCAACATAAAGTTGACTGATAAAGCTGAATTTAGCATATCTGATGTTCCTCCGTGGACCATTCAAACACCTGATTTTAACTTTACATTACATGAGCGAGAGAAATCAAGTGTTATGCCCGAAGAACACAAATCCACCTTTCGTGAATGCATTTCAAATTACCCTTCTCATACACAACTTAACACTGATCGCCTCAATTTTTTTCTGCCGAAGCATGCGCCATTGGTTTGGCCCTCGACCATATCGATGAACACAGCATTAAAAAGGCAATCACAGTTACGAGATCCTAAAAACACACTCGTACAAAACCTTGCTCTTCGAATATCTCGTATCTTAGAAAAGTCTAAAATAACTTTACTATGGATTCAGAGCCATTTCGGAATTAATGGCAACGAATTTGTTAACAGGGAAGCAAAAAATGCATTAAATCTCCAAAAACAAATATCAAACTACCATATACAGATTTTAAACCTATTATTCGTACAGCCATTCAAAATGAATGGCAGCAACGCTGGTCTTTCGAGACCAGCAACAAACTTTTTAAATTACAACCGAAACTTAAAACATCTATTCCCAGTCGGAAAGATCGTAGAGAGGAAGTTGTCCTCGCTCGGCTCCGTACTGGGCACACATATCCTACTCATTCATACCCTTTAAAACGACAAGATCCACCTTCATGCCACGCATGTGACACTCCTTTTTCAGTGGAACATTTTTTAATAGAATGTTCCGATTTTAAACACATTCGTGTTCACAACTTTCGAGTCCCAGATATGAAAACTCTTTTCAGTTCCGTGGACTCGAAGGCATTATACTATTTGAAAGACATCGGTCTATTCTATAGACTCTGATGTCTTTTAACCCACCTTACCCTTTTTGACGCTATATATATATATCACATAGTCCATATCATCTATTCGTTGCTTTTAAAATGAAGCTTTTTATCTGATTGTATCTTCGCTACTCACATGTTTGTTTAAAAAAACAACAACAACAGAAAGCAACATGGCCCTAAATGACCACAGTTGTCGATGGGCCATTAAACCCATACAAAGAAACAGACAATTTAAGGTACGCCATTATATAAGTTAAAACTAGTTAACTCAAGCCACCTGTGGTGTAGGGACTGCATCCACACAGTTAAACAAAGGTAAACTGTATCACAGAAAACGATTATACAGAAAAAACAGTTATCAGGATTATACAAAATAGATACACGTTTAAATCACAACATCCAACCGTTATTATTAAAATGGAAAACATATTTAAACATAGCTCACCGTTAATATTATAAAAATTTTTATTAAACATTTTTTTTTTTAGTGTTATTGAAAACAAAAAGATATTTGAACATAACACAATTAAAAATTAACTGTAAACAATTATACATTATCCAAAATAAAAGTGAGCAGAAACAAATTTAATATTTTAGAAAACGAGTATTCACTTAAAAGGACATAAGTAAACTGTTGCTCATGTAAACAAAATAGCAGTCTCGTCAGGATAAGTAATAATAAGGGGAGACAATTCATCCTTGCTTCTCTCCGTACAAGTATTCCATCGTCGCCGGGGGAAATCTCAGGTAGACGCATTCCGCATCATATAATGGGTATTAACTCGTGCGGTGTTGCCTCCTCTGTCTATTGATCGAGTCAAATATATGCAAATGACAGCAGCTGTTCCAATGTTCAGGCGCAGCCAGGTATTATCAGAAAATCATCATAACGTAAGCTCGCGTTACCCATATCAAGCCGAGTCTTACTTTTCCCCTGTGTGTAGATGATATAAAAAGTACGTTACAGTGGATTTGTGATCGATCGCAGGTGTACAGGTATATGACGACAATGGTCCTACCTGGAAAATTTGATCATCGTGATTCGAGGTCAGGGGTCAGCTCGCGCTCGATAATCATAAGGCAGTAACAAGCATCATGGCGAAGGACAGGTAAGTGGGCTTCATGCTTTTTTACTGGTGTTTGACGGGTATTTAGGAATATCCCAACGTCTTTTTACATATGACTTTATCGTCATGTTTTATTATTTACAAGAGGACTACCTATTTGTTGCTGACTCGCTAATTAGATGTTAGGACGATGACAGGACTAGACGTAGCTGTATCCTCTATAACAACAAACAGTGGGAATACGCCCTCCACTGTAGTGTAGTGTGTCCATACATAATAATAACAATACAGAACGAGTTTCCTTTAAACAAGTATAACTTGTGTGACTTTTGTAACAATGTCGACAAACAATACAAACCTTATATTGACTAAACTAATGTCATCACCACGAAACATCCACGTTGGTTAGTTGGCCGGAGGTAGGACGACATACTGTTTGAAACTTTCTCATGGGTTATATCGAAAACTACTTGTATATTTTAAATGTTTTTAATGTACAATTTCAAAACTTGCTGTAGACTGCTCCTTGTTTGGGCCCCTCCCTAAACATGTAACTTTTATGGATTTTTTTAAAGCGGATTAATACGGATGAAATTTGGCATGTATATTTTTGGGGGATGGGGTTATGTGTGGGCAGAACGTTTTTGGCATGGAGTAGGTGTTGTTGGGATCAGAGCCATTTTTTGGGGAAATAGCTCTATTTTCTATATCGTGTCTGTTTCAAGCTTCAAGCATTTGTAATTGTCGTTTTTTTTATTTCTTTTATTTGATAATTAATTCCCGGCATAATTGATACCTGCGTGTAATACTATGAAGAGTGAGTCTTTATCAGAAATGTTATCAGACCTTACTTAGAAATCCGGGTACATGGGTCTAGTTCAGATAACAATCTTGTAAATCAACCAACAGAATTTGAGGTTTTCTTTTCTTCTATTTATTAAAATGACACATCACCATCCCGGCGACGATATAACTCGTGTTTTTAAAACATCAGGACTGTTTCTGTATAACCTCACTCCTCTGAACACAATTAACCAAAACCCTTATCTCTAACGAAAGTATTCAGACTTCAATTTCATTTTATGAACAATATATGGCTGATACTACCTGATAAATTTATAAAATTCTAATTAGCCTCAGTGTATGGACAAAGGGCGCTTACCACTTATTCCGTCATCATCCTTTACCTCGGGTCACATCAGGTCACTTTGTCCAGTCAAACTAATCGAGATCCCGTACATTTGGAGCGTGTCCTGGTTTTCCGGTCACTGATTTTTTCTCTCTTCTGATGTGAATTTGAAATATTGTGATAAATGGACACGACTACGACGGACATTGACCCACCTGACATAATATAAAGGTACATTGAAATTAAAGGTTTTCCAGCGAGTGGTGGCTGGTTATCACGTTAACCACACTCGGATTAATTAGTTTTCAAAATGTAAAAAGACAAGTTGTTAACCGAGTGGGTTTTTTAACAATAAAATTTAACTTGTGAAGTTAGATAAACATCATAAAAAGCCACCACAACTCTGTGGACCTGTCCCCCCCCCCCCCCCCCCCCCCCCACACACACATAACGTTCATATTGTATCTAGAAAACAACCTGTTTCCCTCGTAGTCTATTGCACATACTTGTAGGTCTGTTTCCGACGGGGGAAAACTATTGGCATGAATCATGACGTCACAATGGACGATGACGTCGCAAAACATTATTACGTGACGACATAGTTAAAATATTGACCAATTAATATTAACACGTCCCGGGTTTTACCCACTAATGGTAGCCAGTAATGTCTACCAACTCCTAACAGGTGCCTCCATGTGTGTATGTATGTGAGCATGTGTATGCTGGAGGCAAGGCATCTTAATGTAATTGCCTCCTTGCGATAGCGCGGATCTGACGCCGCCTTTATAGTGTTAGTTCACTGAAATACCATGCCGAAGGCAATCAGCAAAGCATCCCATCCCACCCGGTCACTTTATTGTGACAACGGGTGAGCCATTTGTTGCCATTTTTCTCACTGACGATCGTTAAGCAGGGAGTAACAGCTACCATATTTAAGAACATTGGTATGTCCTTGCCTAGGGACAGAACCCATAGCCTTCCTCATTATCACCTGGGGGAACGTTCAACATTAAAACCAAAAGTGAGGTATTGCAAGGAAGGCACTACGAAAGTTAGAAGTAGATAGCAAAATCCCAAAATATTGCAATGGGTGCAGCAGATTAAGTTTGGTCGCTTTTGTGTCCCCAATTAGAGGACGCAAACGCTAATCCCCAATTTTGCAGGGGCTCCCCTTATTAGTCGCCTCTTACAATCATGCAGTGGGTAACAACAGGTATCTTTCCTCCACCGGCACAGTAGGAAAACCTGTAGTGGTTGTAGGAAATATATGTATATTTGAAAAAAGAATTTTGTGGACGACGGTTAGGGACTTTATAATCTTATTATAAGAAAAGATGAAAAATAATTTTAAAAGACAATATTCTATTTTTCATGTAGCACTGATAAGAAATATATTAGTTCTATGATTTTTTTTTTTGCATTGCCATAGAAACTAAAAATTATGCCAGTGCCTTAGGCAGGGTTCCAAAACATTTTGTGATTGCCAAGAAAAAACCAGACACCAATATGTCCATGTCACGTATTGATATAACTGATGAAGCTGAGAACATCTGATGGGGCGTTGTAGTGTTGACATAACCGTGAAAGGTCTGGGCAGAAAGTCTTGTTAGCATACACACGTTTATGTAACAATACTATGTATTGTTTTAAACGTGTTCGTTGTCAGACAACCATACAGGATCCCTTCATACGATTTAGTCTCTCCCAGAAAAGGTCATTTATGTATTTTCATAAAGAAAATCTTATTTGAAGCATTCTATTTAAAGCTGACAATGTACCGAAGTTTAAATCAATCGCTTAAATTTAGCCTGGTTGAGTTATCGGTTATCCAATAACTGTCATTTGCATACAAACCTACGTAACGCCTATCTGTAAAATGGAATTACTGGAGGTTGTCGTATGAACGCTCCACAAATGAGTTAAAATGACAATGCCGAGAGGATAACGTTTCAGGCTATATAATTGTTACCGTTAGAAACAGGTATGGTTGTATACGACCATCATGTTAACCACTGGAGAACCGATGGTATGGACTCCATTGTCGCAAACAGCGCACTCTGGAGGTTTCCAAAGTTACTGTAACCGAACTCTGCTTACGGCGTTACCTTGCAAACACGATGGTGTAATGCTAATGGTTCTGTGTGGCCTTTATACATAGTTGGTAGTATATAGAACCATCTGTTATTAGAGACAATGTCCGGTTTCATTCTTCTGCGTTTTCGAGTTAAAGATATTTAAAAGAAGAAAGAAGGCGAGGGAAAAGCGAATATCCCTCCTATTCGAAGTGCGATGATTAAATCCTCCAGTCCGGCTCTTCATCTTAATAAAATATGGGCAATCTTTATAGCAATACACGTCAGTAAAGACATCTCCTAGAACGACTACTGTCTGCCTGTCTGTCTGTCTGAAAAAGACAACTTCTCAAAACAGTTTAACGGGAAATAATCAGTGTGCTGAGCCTAGCGTGCTTTGGATATCCATCGTTCTCTCCAGATTGGCTGAGTCTTGGACGGATATACTGTCCGCAAAATAATATTTTGCAATGATATGGAAACATGCAGCGTGTTTTTGTAGCGTTACTTGTCTAGAAATGTTCAATGTAGTGTAGTCTGTAGCGTTACTTGTCTTCAAAGGTTCAATGTGGTGAAGTCTGGCGTCTTGGATTTAGAAATGTTCAATGTGGCGTAGTCTGTGGCGTTACTTTCTACAATTTGGTTTGCTTTTGTTTTATTTTGTTTAACGTCCTATTAACAGCTAAGGTAATTTAAGGACGTGCCTCTATGTGTGGTGTAAAAGCGTGCATATGTGTATGTGTGCTGGAGACAGGATATGTTGGTGTACTTAGCTCCTGGTGATAGTACGGATCTGATGCCGACTTTATAGCGCTATCTCACTGAAATACCATGTCGAAGGCCCCCACCACAGCATTCCGCCCGGTCACATTATACTGACAAAGGGTGAACCAGTTGTTGTCATTCCCCTTAATGCTGAACGTTAATTAGCAGGGAGGGAAATAACAACTACCATTTCTAACGACTTTGGGATGTCCCGGCCTGCGGACGGAACCCATTGTCTTCCTCACCCAGGCAAGGCGCTAGGAAATAAAAGGTAGTTAGAGGTAGAGAGAAATATAAAGATCCCAACTATTGCAATTGGTGCAGCAGATTTATTTTGGTCGCTTTTGTGTCCCTAAGTAGAGGGCACAAAACTAAATCTTTGATTTTGCAGGGGGTTTCCACATTAGTTATACATGCAGTGGGTAACAGCAGGTTTATTCTTTTCTCGTTCCCCGACCTGCAGGGGTGATATTTTTGCAAAGATTCAATGTGGTGTGGTCTGGGAAGTTATGCTTTTTTCTCTCTCAAAAAGGTGTAATGTGTTGTATCTGAGGAGTTACTGGTCTAGTAATGTTTAGTGTGTTGTAGTCTGATGAGTTACTGGTCTAGTAATGTTTAGTGTGTTGAAGTCTGAGGAATTACTGGTCAAGTAATGTTTAGTGTGTTGCAGTCTGAGGAGTTACTGGTCTAGTAATGTTTAGTTTGTTGTAGTCTGAGGAGTTACTGGTCTAGTAATGTTTAGTGTGTTGAAGTCTGAGGAGTTACTGGTCAAGTAATGTTTAGTGTGTTGCAGTCTGAGGAGTTACTGGTCTAGTAATGTTTAGTGTGTTGTAGTCTGAGGAGTTACTGGTCTAGTAATGTTTAGTGTGTTGTAGTCTGAGGAGTTACTGGTCTAGTAATGTTTAGTGTGTTGTAGTCTGAGGAGTTACTGGTCTAGTAATGTTTAGTGTGTTGTAGTCTGAGGAGTTACTGGTCTAGTAATGTTTAGTGTGTTGTAGTCTGAGGAGTTACTGGTCTAGTAATGTTTAGTGTGTTGTAGTCTGAGGAGTTACTGGTCTAGTAATGTTTAGTGTGTT